GGTAGAAGCCATGTATTACAAGAGCTCAGCATTACCAGCTACTGTTATATTTTAGTGATCAACATAGTTGATTTCCAATATTTTTCTACTTATACTTTAGATTTCATTGTACATATTTTGAGGCACAAGAAGGAAAGAACTTGGGCGCCAGTGCCTGATAAGTACTGTTTGACTTATCATCCAACTATAAATATAACCAAAAGTCTAACAAGATACTAAGACAGTTGAGAAAGGATAACCATAGACAAGCAGTGCTTTCAATTCCAACATAAAGAAATAGCCAGGAAAAGATGGCAGGGGCATGGCTGATTATGTGTGGTGACTGGGTCAGTTACAAATGACTGATGTGGGCAGAGGGAAGAGCCAGGCTCCTTAGAAAAGATGTAGATGGCCTTCCTGGTTTTCCAGTTCCCCCTCAACTTGTTTCCAATCCTTGAGTACCAGAGGTTTATAGACCAGCATGGACATTAGTAATGGTCAATGAAGGTACAGCAGTAGTTGGATACTCACATAGTTATCCATAAAGTGTTGTTTAGGAATTCTATGCCTATGTCCAGGGGACATATGGATTAGTGGTGTTCACATACTATCTTTGCCTGATATTAATATCAGTTTTTATAATAACCCTATGTGACACAGTGGAAATCCTTTTTGTGTGTTTCCTAGTAGGGCCTTTGTAGAATCTAAATTATTTATTTCAATATTTGATAATATTCAGTGTATGAGGTCACTCAGTCCTAGAGTCATCTTTGAGGGAAAGTTTTCCTTAAAACTCATTTTAAAATTTAACTGTTAGGACATATATATTATTTATTCTATGTTTTGTTAAAATTTTTTATTAGTTCAAGTTAGGGAACAAGCTTGTTTCACATGTAAGTCCCTTCTCCCTCTCCCTCTCCCTCTCCCTCTCCCTCCCCTCACCGCCATCCCTCCTCCTCCACCGCCAACCTACCCCCACCCCAACCGCCCACCACTCCCCAGGAAGGGTGGGGCCCTCAACAGGGGCTCCGCAATGTCCACCACATTATCCTGGGCTGGGCCTTGGCCCTTTCCC